GTCGTGACTGCTGTTGTGTCTGTGAGTACTGAGAAATGTCAAACCATCTGAGCAAAAGTAAGAATCCCTTTGGAGAATCCGTCGAGGGTGCTCTACGTTTGTTTTGGATGCCTAAACGGATTCTCCAAACGGATTCTTACTTTTGCTCACATGGATTGACATTTCTCAGCACACACAGACCCCACAGCAGTCACCACTAGCTTCAAAGACGCCTACAGGTGTGGTGCGTACAGCCTTCAAGTTCTGGTGACGACCCGACAATCATGGAGGGAGAACTCTGTGGTGGTGTGGTGAGAGGTCTGTCTTTTGGTCGAAATCAGGGGGGGGGGGTATGCCCGTCCAAAAAAATCCGTCGCGCCAACTATGGGGAGCCATAAAAGTCAGCCTTAGCGCCAGCAGAGCAGAGCGCAGAGCCCGCAGGGGGCCGGAGGGGGCGCCGCAAAAAAAAACACTCCCCCCTCGGCGTACAACTAATAATAATGCACTGTGGGAGGGGGGGGGGGTAGGGGGAGAGGGGGAAAGAGCGAGAGAGCTGTGGGGTTTGTTTCTTATTCGACACACTCCCCCGTAACACCTCGTTTCTTATGTAGTAGGGCAGCAGTCGCTGCTGTGTTTCTTGTTGAGACATTTCTTACTGTATGACCCAGATTGAGCTATGTTTCTTAAGCCTGTTTTCTTATTTTTCGTGAAAAAGTGAGCCTCAATTTCTTAACAAAATATTTCTTAATTGAGGGCGCTAACTGTAGTCTATTGCTGTAGTTTTTCTAATGTGCGATCCAAGCATGATTTCCACCCCTTTGCCGCGTCCGCACCCTTTCGAACACCAGCCTTAAAACTCATCACGCATCGTTTCTTTCCGACCGTGCTGACTGGTGCAGCCATGTTGTTGACACGAGGTCACGAATAGCTTTATACCTGTATGGTCAGGCATCCCCTCCCCCGATCCACACGTAGGTGCAAGCTCTCCATCCTTTTGTAGGCGGAATTTGTACGTTGATTGAGAACAAGTGGTCGATCGCCCCTTGTGTGATTCAATAGGTAGCTTCATATTACCCTCTCACGCTAGGTTGTGGGTTCCAGCCTCTAGCCTCTCCGGAATGTACGGTGATACAAGTGGGTGTAGCTGAGAACGCCCCGGGGGGACGCCATAGTGTATTATGGGCAACCGACAGCAAACGGCATACTGGGAGGGTCTAACCCCCAAAACGGCACACCACGAAAGAGCTTGACTCGGGAAATGACCCCGAGGCGGTACGCTGATTGGCTGCGACCGCCGACTACCATTTTCTGGTGGCTTACGCGGAGGGTAGTACCGCAATCGGGCCTCTGGCGTCGACTTTAACCGTTTTCTGTCCTCGCCCCGGTCACAACAATCTGTCGCAAGAAATTTCAACCGCACAACCCTTGGCTGTTAGACCCTTCTTTATGGAAACAGAATCTTGCAATTATATCTTGGCATTTTGACCCAAGATTTGCTCACAATATATCTCCACCAAGATTTGCAGTATCGCGATTTATGGGGAGAATATGTTGAATGCTGAAAAAGCGGCGAGTTGTTCCTCTCTTCTGCTTCAAGTTGATAAAGGCACAACGGCCACTTGGTCCACAGAAAATGCCAAGGTGTGGCGAAAAGTGACCATGACGCTGTTGTAAAAGGAGCGTCCCTCCCCCAGCTGTATTACTTCAACACGATGGGTGGATACTAGCGATGGGCGCCTACCTGGGGTGCAAAATAGAGGCCGTTGCTGACGAGCTCATATCAAGCGGAGAAACAAAATTGTTCCATTGCTATCCAACTGACAAGAAAGTGCATCAACCCGAAGCCGATTACACCTGTGCACGTATCTCACTATGTAGCAGGCGTACCGAGGTCAAACCTCCGGCGCTGTCATCTGCACTCATGGATCTGGCTCGGGTGCAAAGGGATTGGGTGTGGGGTGATTCGATGAAGAGATAGAAGCGTCGCACACGACAGAGCTGTGTTGGCAAAACGTGCCTCCTCCTCTATTTTTCTAATTCAAAATAAAGTACTCTTTGAACGGTCCCTCGACAGACTGGTGATGACGCACGCGGAACGAGCCAGGGTAAATACGCATTTTTTTCGCGCGCCTTGGTTGTTTTTGTTCGCTGTCGGCGCCCGTGGCGCTGACACAGCCAGTGACGCCAGGGTGCGTTTGAGACCCTTGCGAGTGTGCCACTTGCAGATTTCATGGCGTTATGGACGATCAGGTTGACTGACCTTCGGTGATCGCGCCGCACCCAGGCAAGATTTGTTTCGCCGCCTCAAGATTTGTCGGAAGGCTCGTTTCGACAGATCTTGGGTCAAGATTTGTTCGAAAGGGCAGTGTTCGGGCCTCGAGAAATCTTGGCCAAGATATATCGGAAGATTTTGCTCCCAAAAATCGTGAAACTGGCAGATCTTGGCCAAGATCATCAAGATTTATCGACAAGATTTTGTTCCCATAAATCGGGGTCTTAGGCTTCAACGTCTTAACTCACCGATCGTGTGGAATGACATCAACCATTGCCTCGGGTCCAATCAACGATCACCATTATTCCACCTCAAACATCTGCACAGCCAACGCACCGAGGCCTCTTGACCTCACCAATTGGTGGTCCGACCACTGCTGCAGCAGCCGCCGCCGCCTCAGCGCGGCTCGCACCACGTGTACCCACAAAGGTTCAATATCTCTGCTACTTCGGATCCTGTTGCCTCATAATTCGAGAAACTTCGTATCTGGAAACGGCCGATTCTCGACCCCTCGTGCGTCATAATCCACTTGGGATAGGGTAGCTGTTCTCTTCCGATGTTTTCCCTTGGCCCCAAGTTGGTATCGCGCAATACCGTATCGACATGATAAACTGCCATGTACCCATAATAATTCTTGTTGATTCTCGCGATTTTGTTCTTCGCTTCTTGTTGCTAGGGTATACCCGTTCTTTCGATGCCTTCGCCATCGCCTTGAGCCAAGCATGTGAGGGAGGGGAGAAGCGTTGGTACACATCGACCACTGAGCTGCAGCTGGGGTCGTTGGACATCTGCAGGGCGTGCCGAAGTACCCCGACCTTGCACGTCCGTGTAACTGGTGGGACTCCTACAAGCTTATGGTCTCCTCCTACTGTGCAGGCACTGCCGAACACGCAAAGCTCGAAGGTTCGTGTCGTGAGCCGTGTGCCAGTCGTGCGTGCTCTTCGTTTGACGTGGGCGTTTTCTATGGAAACCTTGGTGCAGAGAGCCGCCATCGAGCTGTGGTCGCGGTCCGAACGTCTTGAGATGGTGGGACCATTGTGTGCGGCTAGCCTAGGATCAGTGGTTTGGCCTCTGGGGCTGACACAGCTGGTGTTGGACACAGATTTCCATATTCCAATGGAAAGCCTGTCGTTTCCAGTGCTCCTGCAAAATCTTTCGTTCGGAGATTATTTCAACCAGCCTATTGCGGGAGTCGTGTGGCCGGCGTCCATGAAACAGCTATCGTTCGGAGCAAGATTCAATCAGCGTATTGCGGGAGTCGTGTGGCCGGCGTCCATGAAACAGCTATCGTTCGGAGATGAGTTCGACCAACCCATTGCTCAAGTCGTGTGGCCGGCTTCCCTGCTACAGCTATCGTTCGGAGATGATTTCGATCAACCCATTGCTCAAGTCGTGTGGCCGGCTTCCCTGCTACAGCTATCTTTCGGAGGTGACTTCAATCAACCCATCGCTCAAGTCGTGTGGCCGGCGCCCCTGCAACGGCTATCGTTCGGAGATGTATTCAATCAACCCATTGCTGAAGTCGTGTGGCCGGTTTCGCTGTTACAGCTGTCGTTCGGAGCAAGATTCAACCAACCCATTGCTAACATCGCGTGGCCAGCGTCCTTGCAACAGCTATCGCTCGGGTCGGAATTCGATCAACCTATCGCGGGAGTCGTGTTTCCGGCGCGTCTGGATAAACTATATTTGGGGAATAAATTCAACCAGGATATTGCGGGAGTCGTGTGGCCGGCGTCCCTGAAACAGCTATCGTTCGGAGCAAGATTCAATCAGCGTATTGCGGGAGTCGTGTGGCCGACGTCCATGAAACAGCTATCGTTCGGATATGAGTTCGACCAACCCATCGCTCAAGTCGTGTGGCCGGCTTCCCTGCTACAGCTATCGTTCGGAGCAGGATTCGATCAACCCATTGCTCAAGTCGTGTGGCCGGCTTCCCTGCTACAGCTATCTTTCGGAGGTGACTTCAATCAACCCATCGCTCAAGTCGTGTGGCCGGCGTCCCTGCAACGGCTATCGTTCGGATATGAGTTCAATCAACCCATTGCTGAAGTCGTGTGGCCGGCTTCCCTGCTACAGCTATCGTTCGGAGCAAGATTCAACCAACCCATTGCTCAAGTCGCGTGGCCGGCGTCCCTGCAACAGCTATCGTTCGGAAATGATTTCAATCAGCCCATGGGTGAAGTCGTGTGGCCGGCGTCCCTGCAACAGCTATCGTTCGGAGATGATTTCAATCAACCCATTGCTGAAGTCGTGTGGCCGGCGTCCCTGCAACAGCTGTGGTTCGGAGATGATTTCAATCAGCCCATTGGTGAAGTCGTGTGGCCGACGTCCCTGCAACAGCTATCGCTCGGGTCGGAATTCGATCAACCTATCGCGGGAGTCGTGTTTCCGGCGCGTCTGGAAAAACTGTATTTCGGGAATAGATTCAACCAGGATATTGCCGGCGTGGTGTGGCCGGCGTCCGTGATACAGCTATCGTTCGGAGATGATTTCAATCAGCCCCTTGCTGAAGTCGTGTGGCCGGCGTCCCTGAAACAGCTACTGCTCGGGCCGCGATTCAAGCAGGCTATTTCCGGGGTCGCGTGGCCACGTTCGATGCGGCGTGTGGCACGTGGCGGATTAACCCTGCCGTGGCATCACGGGCATACTTTCGGATGACTGCGCGCTTCCGCAAGCGTTGTTGGGACGATCGGCTTGATTGTACCGCTGCTAGGCCCCCATGCGTAGAGTATGTTCGAAATACTCAGTACCAGCATGTTCGCAGGTTGTGGGGAATTGCTTGTTTTTGCAAATTATGTATGGAAGATATCTCTCGATCGCTGTCTTTCGGGCGCATCAAATCGTCACGTACGGGTTGGATGCATGTAGCTCCCGCATTCTTTTTGAGTTGATCAAGGCTTGGGGGGGTTAGTACAAAGGAGGTCCAGCTGTTGGAAACAGCTGGGTGCTAGGGTAATGAAAGAGGTACGGTCGCTTGATGTCTTGTCTCCACGATTGTGTAGAAATGAGATGTTGCTTGAATTGAGAGCGAGGAAGGTCTGGATGAGGAGGGGATCCTCCTAGCCACCAGGGGGCAGGCAAATAGCGGAGTCCTGATGTGGTATGGTCCCCCGGGAGGTATACCTCCCGGCCATCCCACATCCTATTCTAGACAAAGATGTACCCTATCTAGGCCCTACAGCAACACTCCTCCTTAACATTAGTCTGTGGGACGACTTTGAATGTACTCGTCAAGGCATCAAAATTTCAGGTGAGACTTGCTATGTTGTTTTGACCAGGAAGAGTTGCGCAAACCGTCACCGATGCTTCGCCTCAAACCGTAGAATACACGAGGTTTGGGCAAAGAGTCGTCGATGATTCGCCTCCAGCTCGTTGCAGACTAGACTACTGGCACTATTCAGAGATTGACTGTGGTGGAAAGCGGAACAACCTATGGTATCGAGAAATTCGTCGGCTGCGGACGAAAAAAACACACGCCTCCATCGATCACATTTCAAAGTTAAAAGTTGTGAATAGCGTTGTCATGCAGGCGGGACTGGGAGTCGGCGTCGTCGGACCCCCCTCTTTACCATGTTACCGGCGGACCCTCTGCAGTACGTCGGGAACCTCACCCCAAAACTTGCAGGAGACCTCTTCGTACTTTTCGGTAACCTCGACCGCCACATTGTTAGCGGGAGGGGGGCCTCCGCATTTGGCAAAGCCCCAACCGAATGTCGGGGGGAACCTCAAACACGGGACATACTCTACTCAGAGGGTACCTTGTTGGAATTTGAAAAAATATGGTAGAGATTCTCGAAGAGCAAAAGTTACTGGAGAGACCTGGGGTGAGGTTCCCTGATGCAGATAAGAGGGTCCGCTGGGATTGTTTTGGCAGAATGTCTTCCCTAACACAATGCTAGCATTTGTACCAAACGGGCACCTGCACATTTAGAGGACTTCGCCTGGAAAAGAATCGATCAGACTTACGCAATATGCGCCTCGCCAATATTGGTAAGGGGAACCACTGCAGGTATGGAACCTCTCAGTCACCTCAAAGATTGATTGTGGTGCACGATGTGGTGTTCTCAGATCGAGCGACCCCCTACCAATTTTGGCTTGAGGTTCATTCTGAGGCAGCGGTTTCCCATGGGAACCACACACTTAAAAAAAACAGGAGCGGCAACGCACACGATGCGCATCAGTCAGCACAGTCCGGTGCTCAGGGATACTCTCAGTACATACCGTGTCCCTTCGCCATTCAAGTGGGCAAGTGGGCGATGGGTTAGATATTTTGCATGCCCGAGTTGTGCTGCGTGTCATCACCTTGCCACGGCTCTGAGCAGTTCCATAATGTTGGGTTATTCTGTGGCCATTGCTGCATGATGCTGGACCACCTCTTACGTACAAGGAACGCGAGCCTTCGCCAAAAATGAATCAACAAGCGCGGTTTGTCATGCCCAAAGAGAGTTACTCAACACAACACAACACAACACAGGCAACGCGTTCGTACGTCAGTCAGCGAGGGAGTGGCCCATCGATCGGTGATCTGCCCTTGGGGCGCACTCAACACAAATGCATCACGTAAATAGAAAAAGGATAGGGGAACTCGAATACTTATCTCCTCTGTGCGCTCGCAAGAAAACTTGGAACGGAACGACGCAAAACAATACAAAGGCAACCGTCGCAACGCTTCCACGTGCACAAAAGACGTCAACCTACCGCACGCATCTTCGGATCGCAGGTGCGTCAGCCTCGCGCTATGTTTCTCCGGGCTACCAAACGACGCACGCGTGGCATCGTTTGTGGGGGAGGGTTCGAACGTAAGGCCACAACCTAGTCTAAAGGTAAGGTTCACAAGGTGACACCTCTCCATATCCTACAATAGCGCAGATATACAAAGAATAACCAGCGTACGTTGAATAATTCCATGCTGCCCCTTGCCAACCATCACGTAGTAACGGCTTTATTGAGAGCGAAAAACCCTGGCGAGCAGATGTCTCACTTGCTACCAAGCAAGCGAGCTACGTAAAGAGTACTCCATACGCAACGTCCAACTTCGAAATGGGCGTCGCCCGGCGACGGCTGACCATCGACAACGCCTCAAGATCAATGCACGGATCACGCGGGCATCACGACTGGCCGTGATCACCCGAACCAACACCGAAAGGCAACAGCTGCTGCAGCCCTGTTCATACCCAAGGAATACCGGAACACAGGTGAACAAAATAGGGCCAGCCACGACGGCTCGGCAACACGATCACGTCAAATCAAATTCTTCGTCGTCTTCGACGTGAGCGGCCTCAATCACCCGCTTGATCCGGAGGCACATGTTCGTTTTCCAAGGGTCCAGCTTCGAGATCTGCAAACGGGCCACAGGACGGTCAACATGGCAAGATAGGCAGTCGGGTATGTAGTATTAGTGGTTCGACATCTGCAAGCTATCCCGCTGCTGCCAATTCTACGTCCTGAAGGAGCTGCACGGGGTACACCTTGAGAGACGGAAACCAGTGAAGCAGTACAGGTTTCAAACGTGTCGTACAAGTCGGATGCAGCGAAGCTCAACCCATGAAACGATTCCAGCAACTTTCAGGCGACGCCACTATCGCCAAGACTTGGAGCACCAAAACCATACCGTGGTTCCCCAGCGGTATTTCGTATCCTGTATAATAGTTTCAAGATATTGATACATAGTTGTATCGAACAACGTGCGCCCGGGGTAGTCGAAAATATTGTTCTTAGAGCAAGGCATGTACGTGTTCTCAATCTTGATGTGCGTCTGTCGACATCTTTGTGTTTGATTTGACACGTCACCGGGGTTGATTGACTGCGGTCGTTTGAAACGGATCGGCGAGGATATTGGTCAACCCATCAGTCCGAAATTGATTTGATTTGGGCTCGCCACGAGCCGTGGGCTCTCAACATATGAACCAATTCGCCCTTCTGTCGGACACGTACGGCATACAGACGTCCAGCGTTTCAAGAGGGTGTACCCCACGAGCACCGATCCAACAAGCACCATCATCCTCAAAAAGCGTGTCATTCCTTCCATCTAGTGTGCATCCACCGTCAACACCTGAGAGGTACAAGTATTATAGCACAAAGCCACTGTCATTCAAGCGGAACTCAGCGCTGGCCGTGCAACGGCGGCAAGACCGACGGCTGTCAGCACAGAATCTCCGACCAAAGAAAGAACACGGTATGCTTACCTGGTCGTAGTCGAAGCAGTGCTGCGAAAAGTTCTCCACGTTGAAGTCTTCTGAGGCCTGGATCAACTGGTCCAAGAATCTGCCATTGGGTCGGCGGGCAAGACTTGCAAGTTAAAGCTCACCAAGCGTTATCGCTGTGCAGGACTACAACAGAACTAGCCTTAACGGCAAAAACAGCTATTGTATACAAAAGCACGGAGTTTGCAGCTGGGCTTTCGCACTGGGAGGACAAACTAGGTAGAGTGGGCTGGTACAGGGATGCTGGCGAAGTGCATTAACTCCATCCCATCTATTCTGGGTGGCAGTCTACACCAATTGGTGAAAGGTTTAGATGCAACTGCCGGGGTCACACGGGAGGCAGGAAAAAACTGGATCGTTCTTTATTTTTCGCCAACCTTTCCCCAGGTGGTGAATTTTTTCATTTATTACGTGCGAACGACCCAGCAGTTCTTCCCCTTCGCCGTGTGTACTCGTAACCAACCGAAACATTGGGGTGACCGCGGATTACCGTGGAAGCAATGGGGTTAGCCAGGGTGGGTGTCATCGGCGATTGCACAGCTGACATCAAGCGAGGAACACATCTACCAAGTGCAGTCGTGCGGAACATCCCAGCGACTAACCTGTACTCTCTCGAGTCGTCGAAAGTGTAGTCCGCCGATGTGAAGTCGCTCTGCTTATTTCGGGCGGCCACAGTGTCGCCTTGGGCTGTGTCCGATGAGATGAAGCAAAGCAAACGGGCAACATGTGCATGGCCCAGAGGACAGGCGGGCAGCGACAAGAGACTCGGATGAGCAAAGGTCGCATTGCAATCGGTCCGTGATCGAAATAAGTTAGCAACACAGCAGTAGCGGTCCGCTCACGAAAAACGACGCTGTAGCACAACCAGGCTTACTGAGGTGCTGAAAACACATCACAAGAGTACATGTACCTATCGAGCCTCTGCGCCAAGTCCAACTCAAATTTGAATAAATGGGTTCGTGCTCGACCTTCGCCAAACATGAGAAAACCCAGCAGAGCCTGCTCTTGAGTATTGTTTGAGCGGGCCGGTACTACTGTGCACGTGTAGATGCCGCGGAACATGGGCACGAGAAACACGCGAACAAACCGGAGCACCGGAGCACATCCCACCACGAATACAACCAGGAAACGGCATTAACGACAACGGACACCGTAGCTGCGCACCGATGTTAAACTCAAATACTCTGCTGTCAAGAGCAAAGCATGTGGGATCAACAACTACACTCTATTGGTGTGCTCACCGAGCAGGCACAGTCCCGCCTGCAGCCAGTAGCCCTTGGCGTTCATCGCAAGAAGCTTCTTTTCCATGCACGACCGCCCCAGTTTCTCGTAGATCTCCGCAGCGAGGGTTAGGTTCGGGTTTTCGGCGTCCTGGGGAGACGGGCGAAAAAGCCAACATGAAACAGGAATGCTGTGTTCAATGTATATCCTCCTTCCTGCATGACTGTATATCTTCCTGCCTGCATGACTGTATAGGACCCGAAGGATGTCAGGTGACATGTAACCGTTTGTGCCGGTTACAACGGAAGGTGTCCGCGTCAGTTGGATCAGATGCGATGGTAGACGGTACTGGGCAGAGATGGGGTTTTCTATGCACACAGCAGCAACAACAATATCAACGAAGCACCCGATCCTACTTGATAGTCCCGCCTGTCTTTCGTGCGTGATTTCCTTGCGGAAAGGAGGTATGCGTACGGGCTACAAGTCGGGGTAAGACACAGCTCTGTGGTCGAGGTGGGGAATGAAAAGTGATGTGAACATGTGACTCGCGGATCAGCAAGATGACTATTCGACACAACACGCCAACGTCCCTAATAGCCTGAAGAAACGAAGGATACATGCCTTGGTTCTACCTGAATCAAAGACGCCAAGAACGGCGCGTAGATGGCCGTGCCTAACGACGGTAAGTGGTGGAAATTATGTGAACTTTTACGCTGTGAATCTTGTCAGTAGCAAGTGGCAACAGGGCAGCAGTAAGAAGCCCCAACACGAGGGAGGTATGCATAGGATATGGTCGATTCATCTAGTTTATGGCCAAAGACGAAACGGTTCTGTTGTTCCCCCCAGTCGAAAATATCTGGTATGTACCGCTGGTGGCGGGCGGTCATGACGATAGCCTCTCCACGGTTATAACGATGGGTATGATACCAACGAGCAAAAACACGTCCAAGTACAAGTGATAGCAATTACCTTGGAAACTATCCCGGCCACCTTGACCAGGCACGCGTTGGATTGGGACACGCAGCCCTCGCCCTGCCAGCACAGCAAACGGGATGAGCAGCACATAGGTGCAGTAGCCGGACGGCAAAAAAAATGGCTCTGCGTCACACTCAAGAATTCGTGGGGGGTGTAACAAGGTACACCAGACAGGTGCTGTCGAAAATACCATCCCCCGTCAACGGCTTGGATCGGATCGGAATCCATCCAACAAGGCTAAAGAAGCATGGCAGCGGCAGTGCGATGCCGCCAGAGAGAGCGAGAACTGAGACACTTTGTTGAAACGCAAGTCACCACGAAAAATAGGGGGCCAAAAAAAGTGTCCAACGTGACTAGGAGATCGAAAAAACACTATTTTACTGACACGCAGACAATCGAACCATCGATGCCAGGTCCTTCACGAAGAGAAAGAGCAAGCGTCAAGCGAGGGGATCGGAAAATGCAACAAACTGGGGTGTTGATGGTATCGACCCTCACTAAACCTGACGGACACAAGCAACAGCCTGCGATTTTTCAAAAAGCTAACATCACCAGTATGGAACAGCAACTTGTCGCAAGCCAAACAAGAACCAAGACCCGAATCGCAACCCAAAGGCCACAGCAGCCGAGGAAACTCAGCGGGAAAACAGAGGAGTGTGTCTGTTCAGCAAACAACGACGGGGCAAAATAGTTAATACTCGGTTTGCCGGGGGAATCGTTCTACACGGAAGGCGCGGAAAAAAACAAAAATGGTGCTCACCGCAAGGTATTCTGAAGCCTGTTGCAGGGAGTTGACCGCATCATCGGTCATTCCTTCCGCCTCGTAGATCTCTCCGACTTCCTGCAGCATCTTGCCCGCCTGCTGGAACCGCCCCGACTCGTTGTAGATGGCAATCGCCTTGTGGAAAATTCGTTCGACAACGGGGTAGGGTGGAAGAGTACCGTTGGACGTTGTGAAGGCACTTTTCTCGTTGTGGGCCAAGAGCTCCGTGTGTCAAGTTCCACACAGCAGTCTTCTTCCACGTGCGGGAGAAAATATTCATGGAAGTGCAGGGACAAAAGTGTTGTAATATACGGCTTTTCGTCTCGTCAGGCATTTCTTCTTCCCAGCTTCTACAACCATTCTGAAAGTGAAAATCAATAAGAATCTGCCACGGAACAGCCCGCGAAACACAACGAAATACAACAAAAGCCAACGCCAGACATACGCGTGGCGCTTGGTTCAAAGCAACATCACCACTATGGCACCCTTACCCTTTGCTGTCACATACCTACAGCAGTACTTGCAACTCGATATCCCAACGAGTAGCAAGTGGTCGAGCAGCAAACGGACTATTGTCACCAGATATCGTAAGCATACAGTTAAATTTACAAGGTGTGCCTCCGGAGTGGGCTCATAAGAGCATAGTAGTAAAGTCATCCAAAGGGCGTGATGCAACATGAAAGGAAACATTGTGTTGGTGTGAATCAGCTGCAAGCTGCGATCAGTGACGTTTCTCAGGCTCGAACAGCTCACACAGCTGACGTGTTCTTGACTCGAAGAGCCCGGCGAACCTCAACGAACCTTCAAGAATGCATCAACGGCGCTGCTTGGCTCTACGGACTTGCGGCACTTGGCGGCTTCAACGTAGGCCCTCGCCGACTCGTGGGCGCTCTTGGTGATCTCGTACTGCTCCGCCGCGAGCTCGTAGCAGTTGCCCGCTTCCTCCATGTTTCTCGCCACCTTCCCACAAGCAGTGACCACGATAGAGCCAGCAATGATTGAAACAATCGGATAAAGACGCATTGGTGGACCACACACACGCACACTCAACTTACAACTGGCGAGTTGAAACCGGGACTCGTCTTCGATCGGAATGCTTGAAGGCTCTACTTCGTGCCTACTGCTGCCTTCGTGCTGCTTTGCCGCGCCCGCTTAGAATCCTGGCCGGCCTCCCTTGTTTGTCTCGACGCCTTCCCAACAGCAGTGATCAATTCCAAATTGCTTTCAAATCACAGAATAACTTGTGCACTGATCAGCACCTCCTCGCAGGAAAGCAACGTCTCGCTGCGACACAACACACAATTAAAATGGCGGGCAGCTGTATGTGTGTGTGGTAATTATTATTAGCATTGACGGAAGGCCTCCGCGTCGGTTGGACCAGTACTACAGTATACGGGCATTAGAAGGTACTGAACGGAGACCGGAGCGGTTTTGATGTGAAGACAACAACAAACAACATTTGACGGCGCAACCGGCTGACCAATGAAAATAGGTGCGTCATTTTCAGTGAGTTAGAAAACAGAACATGCTTCTAAAGGCCACGACCTGGGACCCGTTGAGTGAGTGGATTGTGTGTGTTGCGCTCGTCCCATCTGGTCTGGGTATCAGTCTCCACCTTTGAATGACGCACTTCATGGGCAGGACACACACAACAAGGGGAAGGTACTTGTACAACACAAAAAATGTTGTTGTTTCGTCACCACGTGGAGCCCAAGGTGGTTGAAAGTTGAAAGTTCGACTAAGGGGAGGATGAAATCACACAGTAGCTCAACCACCTCGCGGAGACATATACTTTCCCTGCTCCCAAAAGTCACCAATGGGGGGGGTGCCTCCTACAATCAAACAAACAAATAAAAAACAGGATACGCCTCTGGAAACATGCTGATGTGTCACAGGCAGCCCACCTTATGCCAAGAATACCCAGCGGCGGTGCGGATGAATTCGCTCACGAGGTGCGAATGTGCGAATCTAACATCTAATGATAGGGCGCAGAGGTTGCCACCACCTGTACTGCTGCTGTGAGACCAACGAACTAATAATCAACAATCAACCACCACAACTCCCCGGCCCTGCGGTGCGCGAAAGTAAGACCACAGAGGTAGAGTACTGCAGTAGTTTCCCCAATGACTGTAGGCCTACCAATAGAGTTGCTTCCCTGTCGCCCTTGCCTTCGGCAGCAACTGCAAGCTAGCAACCAAGAGGGCGGGGGGGGGGGGTTGAGCGGCAATTCCGGCAATCCTCTATTTCCGTTCGACCTAATACAGCACATGAACAGAGAGATAAAATAACACAAGGAGGCAGGCAGGCACACGACCGCTGACCTTGTAGCAGCGAGCCGCCTTATCGTAGCACTCAGCAGCATCCTCGTTTTTGGTAGTGCTGCTGAAAAGCGACCACTTCTTCTTGAGGATTTTCTCAGCGTCCGCGATGTGCTGCTGAGCCTTCTCCTCCTGACCGCCGCCGAACGCAGCCATGGCAACTCTCGATTACCCCAATCTTTTCTGTTATATCTATCTGCCCCCAGCAAGGCCTCTCCTCTCTCCTCTCGCCAGCTAACTCTAATACAGCTGCCTTTGCTGTTGTGAGGCAACTGATTGCACCGCGCTCTCCTCCGGCCGCGGGCGGAGCCACGCCCCTTACCCTCCCTTGCGGGCCAAATTTAACAATCTGCGTATCCCCCTGCAATCATGCACGTGGTACCAACTCAGCAGCCAACCCGTTAGGCCACTGCTGTGCACTGCTGTAGTCCCACCCAAGCCTAAACCATAGATCGACGCATGCTTGGGGTGTCCGACTGATCGTACCCGCGCTGTCTCTCGAAGGAGAGCCCGAGAAGTTGGCCGCGTTTCCAGCGCGGGGCAAAACGCTCGGCTATCCTGGCAGGTTCAACCCATACATCGCAGGAAGGCAGACCATGCCGTCCCTACGAGTCATGAGTGCCTTGGCTGTGGCAGCCATTGCCGCGAAGCCTGCTCGGGGCTTCCTGGCTCCTGTTGCGCCTGGGAGAGGGGGAGAGGCAGCAGGCTCCGTCAGCAGCAACCGTCCAGTAGCAGCATCAGCAATTCAGCGTCTTTCCCGCTCCTGCGACGCTGGGGGAGGAGGTGTGGTGGCGACGGCAACAAGTAGCAGGAGCGGCAGCAGGCGTAGCAACGGCTTGACGATGATGATGATGGCCAAGAAGAAGGCCGGGCGGAGGAAGAAGGGGGCAAAGAAGGCTGCTGCGGGGAAGGCGACTGCCGGCCAGGGTGGTGTTGCAGTGGCCGAGCCAGCAGCAGCAGCATCGGCGGCCGCCGCCGCCGCCGCCGCCGCCGCGGTAGAAGAAAACGCCAAGATGTCGGCAGCGGGGACAACAATCAAGAACCGAGCGGGGGGTGAGCAGCCGGTGGCAATGCCACCACCGACGACAGCAGCAAGGAAAGCCACTACTCTCGACGCCGCCGCAGCTTCCGTGGATACCGGAGGCTCATCGCCGAAGGCATCCGGCGGGGCACAGGCCGCCGCCGCCGGCGGTGCAACCAAGGGGTTCGGGGCCCCCGCGGCACCGCAACCAAGGCCGGTGCAGAAGGGGCTAAACAAGGGACCCGTGCCCATGAAGGCCCAGCAGGGCGGGGGCACAGCGCAAGGCAAGGCGCAGTCTTCTTCGCCGCCTCCCAAGCAGACGGGCTTCGATGCGCTGGCCACCGGGGTCCCCATTGGGGGGCAGACGGACCATCAGAAGGCGAGTCTTTGGGGAACGGCCTGTTGTTGCGGTTGGGCAAGGTCGCACGGCGGGTACATGTAGCGAAGGACGCGCTGGTCGTCGTGCCGCCTGGGCATTGCCAGATGAGGGTGTTGCTGCCGTTGGTGGTTGTTGCTGCTGCTGCTGGTCAGTGCATGAGAATGGCGGTGGTGTGTGTAAGTTGTACCTGTAGGTTGAAATTTCAAATCCGAAGTGCATGTCATGTTCCTGAAACGAAACAAGATCCCCCTGACGCTAACTAGCGTTGACCGCTGTTGTCGAGATGACCGTCTTGCCTCTGTTGGTTAGCTATCTATATCTTTGTGGGAATTTCCTTTCCAGGCGCCTGCCGTGCAGAATACAGTAGATAAAAAAAACGGCAGTACTGTAGTTCTGTTGGCACCGTTGTTTTCGTTGCCAGTGCTGCAGCTGGCCACAGCAGTGCTGCTGCTGCTGCTGTTGAATGTTTTCTTTGGAGGGCAACCGCCGCGACCGGCGACTGTTTTATGCCAATCTCTGTCGGCCTCTCAACACCCGATGTGGGCAACATATTTTCGTCGGCATTGCCACCTGCTGTTAGGGGTTACCACAATTGCTTGTCAATGATCAGTGATGCGCCAACGGAGCCGAAGGCCACTCGGGCGCTCGTGACATGTGGGACGGCGGTTACATGTGGTCTCTCCTGACTCCCTCTCGCTTTCCGCGCACTTGGAGACCGTGACGACTCTGTTAAGCATCGGATACGTTGTGTCTGGTGTCGGCCGATAGAATCGTCAAGCCTCGTCAAAGCAGACTAGGCTGCGCAGGCTAAGATATAGCGAATCGCCACCGCTACATGTCGGATGGTGTATGAGGATGAATAAGAGCGAACGCGGACGAACACCATCTCGTCATGACGAACATTTGCGATGGAACATGATGAGCACTCGCATCCATTTCCCTTCTCGATCGTGGCAACGAAAATCGCGTGTTCTGGTTGCTGTCTCCAGCTAGTTCTCAACGTGGGATTGTTTTGCCTACCCTTTTTTGTTTTCTCTTGCACCTGGCCACCCCCACACCCGGCCGGGCAGACGCTAACCGACGTGGAGTTTTCGGAGCCGGAATCGGAGCCAGACACGGTGCGGCTCAACAAGGGCGCGGGCAAGCGGCAGGTTAACGGCGCGGAGATGTCGCCAGCAGGTGCGGTGATCGCAAGCCCTGAAGGAAGCGTTTCGGGATGTTGGAGTATTGTTGATACTCTAATATGTAGAAGCACACGGCTCACGTGTGCCCGCTGTGCTCTTCGCCTTGCATGCGCGCGGAGGTCTTGGCGCATCGCGAACACGATTGCCTACCGTAACTGTTTTTATGATTGCACCTCCCCCCCAGACGCATGGTTCGTACATGTGGCTCGATAGATGTGATGGAGAAGGATTTCATAGACCTGTCGGCCGCTTCGACAGTCGGCCAATTGTGTTTGCGAATGCTCGCATGTTTCTCTTAAGTTTACGTTGTTGGCCGTGTCAACCGTTAGAAGTGGCTGGCCAATGGAAGATGCCGAAGAAGTAAATAGTACACAAGATACACACACGAATAAGTCTTAGACGACGAGCGATAGCAGCATGTTGATCCAGGCCATTCTCTCGCCGGACGAATACCGTGATTCCCGCTTTAGGTGTGCTCACTCATGACTGGCCTTCAGACCCTAACCTTGAAGGGGGGACGGCGTTATGGCGAAATTTACGCCCAACAGCGCAGTACAAGTAGCACGCCTTCATTCGCGGAGCATCGCGAGCTGGAGACCGGGATGTCCCTTTTCTTGGGTGTGACCATTCCGTCTGTTTCGTATTGCGCCCCAGGACACATGGGTGTGTTTGGAATGGATTGTAGATCCAAAAGATTAGTCACAGCAGTCTCCCCTTCGTTGTTTCAAGCAGAGATCAGGTCAGACGTGACGCTCGAGGTGCGATATCGGGAGGCCAGCATCACGAATTTCCACTCCCCAGAGTTGAGGCGTGTTTTTTTCGAGCCATTTGTGTTGCCATGATCTCCTTGCTTTGCTTTTTACTTGGATACCCGGATGTGTTTGTGTGATGACTTCGAGGTGCATCACAACGTGATGTCTGGCTTCTTGGCGACGATTCCCGTCCCTGAGAACACGCCGTTGTTCTCCCGTTCCAGATTGCACTAACTCCAACCCGCAATCGAATGACTCCAGCTCAGTCATATGCCCAGGCATGTCAGACAACCTCCAAGCAGTTAGTACCATTATATATCATGGAGACAATGAACCTCATAATAGAGGGATGCCAAGACTCCCGCCAAGCCCAACGAATATGTGCAACCGACTAACCCAGCCGTCCTCTTACGCCCGCTGGCTTGGTTCCGCCAGTCTCGCTGTCGTTAACGCTGTCCCACCTGCTGTGTACCCTTCGTATACGCACGTTTCGCTATGGCAGACATGCTCCAGTACCTCAGAGACAACAACCTTACCATCGATCTGGAGACGATGAACCCGGTCGAGATTCCGAAGCAGACCGATGCGAAAATGGAGGCGTTTTTCCCCTACCCTCCGGCAAACGTCTTGGCCAAGTACTCCCTGGGTGCCCAGCCCAAGCCGTCGCAGTTCGCCGCCGCAGTGATCGTGAGTACCACAACACAGCATATTTTCTGCAGTACAGTATACTTTCTGCAGGACATGGGGAATTATCATACTTGTACACGTTTTTTTGGAAATTTGTTTTCGTGCGCTACTGCTGTCCTGTGCGATCAAGTCTTCGCTAGTTCCATAGTGAAGTTGCTGTTGTTGTTTCTTCATCCACACTACTGTTCTGGATGTCAAAATGTCAAAATCGCTCCTGCCGGTGTACGCCATAGATGCCACACAAGACCTATTGATGTTTTTTGTTTTTCTCATGCTCCATTTTGCAGAGTGGTTGCCTTTAGCTCATCGCGAGAAGAGAGTTTGTAGTTTCCCCTTCGCTGGAGATTGTTCTCTACGCCAATGGGAAACCTTAGCGTTGCTAGATTCGAGGCAGTTGACAGTCTCGATGCGTACCTATTTACCCTTTTTCTCATGTTCCCCTCTACCAACAATCGCAACATGCCTCCCGCTCCTTAGGCGCTTCTGCCGGAAGATGAACCATGGAACGGAGCCAAGATTCGACCGCTGCCCGAGCTGAAGGACTTCCTATTGGCCAACCGTCGGCATGGGGGGAAACGAGGGATGAACGTTATCTCGGCCATGATGCTCAAGGCTATGAGCGAGGGGGACCTGTGAGTCCTTGTCGTTGGTTGGGACAGCATTTGTTGTGGCTGTTGTTGATGGTGTGTTCTGCACACCTCGCTCTACCGTTCTGCTGCCGCGGTCGTCGTTCTCGTGCTGCTCTTGCTGCTCTTACTGCTGTTGCTGCTGCTGCTCTTATGGCCGCCGCTGCTCTTACTGCTGCAGCGTTTTCTTGCTTGTACTGCAACAATATTGTTGTGCAGGTGTTTGTTTTGTCGGTGAATGTGCCTATAACAACATAACATAATATCCTTGTTCTCCGTCGTTGTTGTCGCTGCTCTTACTACTATTGCTACCCTTGCTGCTCTTACTCTTGTCGCTGTCGTGGTGTTTCACTTTTACTTTCGACAGGGATCGCGCAAAGTACCTTAAGGGCGCCGCGATATGCATGACCAAGGCTGAGGACACTATCACCGGTCCTTTCCGACAGGTATATATCATACCGTACCATTCCATACCTGCTATACCGTACGTACTACTATACCAACCGTTCCATGCCGTGCAATCCCATGCAATGAATGCACGCGGGTATCCTACGGCGATAGTGTCCATTGTTTTTCGCAGGAGGATTGAGCAGGGGGGAGAGCACTGCACGTAGTTGGTTTGGAAGGGGTGTGTTCTTGTCCGAATGCCACGACAACGGCAGCAGGTGTGTGGGGAGGGTGGGTTGTGTGGTTCGCCGAGCTTTGGATGAGGAGACTATTCAGTCAATGTTGTCGGCCCCTTGTACCTCTGATGACCGTTCAACGCTCGCCGTACACAACACGCATGATGACACACATCACAGGCGGTCATGTTTGCGGAGAACCGATTGGCGCCGTGCATGGGAAGCACGGTTTGCGAGGAGTACGCCGGAGAAGATGCCGCGGACGCTGCAGCCACGTGGGTCGTGCTCAAGGCTTGCGTTGCGGAGTGGGAGCTGCGCCTCAGGTCAGGTTTTGATTGGATTGTTGTGTACTATGTTTAGGTCAGCCGATATGGCAGTTGGTTTGTTTTTTCAGTGCACGTCGAGGGTCTACTCATGAGTACATCAATCCCCTCAAAGCCGAAATTTTAACATTTCAAGACAATTAATGTGGATTAAATTATACAATCCCTTAGTTATTTCTCCGAGGCATTGTTGGGCGTGTTCGTAGGCGTGTGCCTCATGCAGGACAGGCTAAATTTGGGCGTGCTTTTTTTTTCCCCAGTAGCGCCAACCGAGGTCAGAACATTGGTACGTCTCCGACCATGAAATTGCTCCAAAACATCCAAGTAACAAAATCGAAACCACAATGTTTTAGGGAAACGCGGGGGGAGGAGATCGGGCTCCATGACATCTTCCGGACCATACCAAACCCCACCATGGGTTTGGACGAGGAGAGGACGGCGGCAATCACAGGGAGCGTGCAGGCCATGGGGTTGTCTTTCAGCAACAACGAGAAGCTCATGAAGGTGCGTGGCTACAGTAGCTATTTACAGGGTAGAGGCGAGCATGCTGCCTCTGCCTTTATCTTCGCCTTCGGACGGCTCAGGTTGATCGTTTTTGAAGCGTGCAAGCCATTGCAAGCCATGGGGCTGTCTTCGTGCGACAACAGAAACTTCACGATGCCTGTCGGTGCTGTTTCCACCCTGACTGTGTATCTTGCTTGCGTGTCGCCTCTTTTTGTTTCCTTGTGTCGAAATCGGTTTCATATCGGTAGGCAGACCACAGCTTAGTGGTAACACAGCTATTCTTGTGTTCTCTTACAAACTTGATTCCATGTTACCTCGACATGAACATGAACCAACGTGTTTGGATCTTCATCTTTGAGGAAAGGTCTGTTGGGCGTAAGCAGAGTCGCTTGGATGCCCCTCGCTAACCTGGTTTGATACTCTGGCTAGGATATCAATATCAATAGCACACGCAACGCCAAGGTACGTTTTCGTTTTCCTCGAGTCCCATCGTTTTTTTTTCGTTGCGGCTTGGCATACCGGCTTCATGTTGCGGTTACTGGGTGCCTCCCTAGCATGTCCCTAGCATGTGTCTTTGCGATGACATCGCCAAAGGGACACGGCCAATGTTTCCAATTGTGGACGCAACATAATGGATGTATAATAGTGCGAATTAACTCAAAGTGATATATTTTTTTCTCGTTACAGTGTAGAATATTAATTTGTTTGCATGCTACGTATCCGATATTGTCCAGGGCCTACCGGCGGTGCTGCGGTTCATGGACGGAGCGCTCGGGCTCAACACCACCACCGACGTCAGGCGTTTCGCGTTGAAGGAGTTCTGTCCCAAGGAAGGCATGGCGCCCGAGGACCTGAGGCTCAGGGTTCGCTCGTTGATAACGGGCCTTGACCAACTCCCCTCAAAGTCCTACCACCAGCTTCAGGTACTGTACGTTTGTTCTTCTTGCTCTTGGATGCCGTGGTAGTAGTTGTAGCCCGAATGGGAGCTTAAAATGGGCCGAATCGGAGCTGTTCGCTTGCAGCGGAAAATACTATTGTTGTGTTGACATGAACACTGTGTCGATCTCCGCTCAGTACCTGCTGACATGACAGCCGTCATGGTCCAACTGACTGGGGCACCTTCTGTGGCCACAGGCTAAAGGATAAATGTAACTCCTCAAAAGTGTGATGGGAGCATGTCAAACCGTAGGGTAGGTATGGGTGGGACGGCATTACGTCGCGTCTCGCTTTGTCTTGTCACGACCGCGGATTGAGGTTAGAGTGCGTTGTGGTAGTATAGTGGGTCGGTATCCTCGTAGACTTGAAAGTTTAAACGGCACTGGCATGTCTCTTGTATGCATAGCGAGCTACGCTACCCCGGACGTACCACGAGCATTAGCAGGAACTTGTCGATACCGCTCATCCCCGAGCGCCAACGTGTCGACACTGCACCACCTTTGTTGTTGCTCTTGCCGTTTCTTGTGGCATTTCTCTGACTCTAAACGCTGAGTCCAGGTTGCCGTGGCAGACGTGTACGAGTGTCTTGCCGAGGGGACGGAGGACGAGTTCTGCCTGTACCTCAACAACTGGGAAGAGAGCACTACTCAGGGCGACGAGAACCTTAGCTTCCAGCCCTACAGGTGATAGTCTGTCTCCGTCTAGTGCGTGTTGGTCTGTTGGATTGGAGAGTTGACCTCGCTTGGTGGTACATGTTCCGTTCCGCCCGCCCGTACGTGCACATTACCTACCGCTGGGTTCGGGCTAGGTATTGTGGTCGTTGATCTGGTCGATAGGCCGCGTGCTCTCACTGGTAGGTGGCAAGTTTTTGCTCTCAGGTATGTCTATGCGCTAGAGGTGATGCCGATGCTGCTGGTGTTAGGACGTAGGTAGGTAGGTAGGTATTTTCATCCCGTAACGGGAAGACAAGGGACGGCAGACCGTACACCCGACCGGAGCTCAAAAGCTCTGGCGAGGCCTCATCTATAATACCGCACCCCCCATGTGCAGATTACTCTTCCTACGACACGGTATCCAGAAAAAGACTGGACGCGTGAAAGGTACTTGGAAGGTACACCGACCGCTCAAGATCGTGATGGATGCAACCCTCCCCGGTACAATCTGTCGCTCCGCCGCTTGGACATGTGGATAGCACCCCGTGTACTGTAACATGCACTGATGTGTCACCCACACACACACACCGAATCTTCTTTGGTTTGCCGTCTCTTGCGTGTTGCGTGTCACGGGTCAGGCTGGACACCGGCGAGGTTTGGCGAAACCGTCTTCGCGAGATAGTGACGACGCCAGTACCCGTTCGGGAAAACAAGGATGACTACGAGGTGCTCTTCAAGGAGATCTTGCCCAAGAGCCTCTGGAACTTCGCTGCCTCAGACGACACGGACAATTTCGAACTCCCTTTCGTGTACCTCAAGAAGGTGTGGTGAACATGTACGGTACTGCATTTTTTTTTTTTTTTCCGAAAGAGGAGATCCTTGGAAAATCACGGAGTAAAACATTTTTAGAGCTCGCGTGCCTGAAGCTGGGACACTGGTAGCTGCTGCACCTCTATTTAGGCTCTCGGCAGGTACGTGTCATTATGTACCAAGTGAATCTTTTTGAGGAGTACTCCCCAAGAGACAGCGACCCAAGAATGTTCAAGTCTTTGAGGACGCGCATTTTCGAATTTTGTTGTCAGTGACTAAAGTAACTGCCAGACGAAGGAACTCCCTTACGACAGATACTGTGCTGTTGTCTATCTTCGTCTCCGGTAAGGAGCCTGGGCCTCGTCATTTGCTTCTTGGAGATTGGGCGAGAAACCTGGCACTGCTGTTGCTGGGGGTTTGCACATGCTGTTATCAGATTATTTTGGACATGTATTCATGCACCGCTCAGCACGCATTGTCACGTTCCTTGGCGTGGTGTGGGGTATGCTCCCCCGTCGGTAGGGAAAAACAAAGATCCACATCTCCCGCTCAACACGCATCCTCCTCAAATCTTGTTCTCGAGGGGTCATCATTTTCTCGCGGAACATGTCACAAACTGCCCCCCATTTCCTGCGATTTGTAGGGCTGGTGGGACTCGTTGGACTTCTTGGACCCCGACCGGGTCGCGGAGATGAGGGCGAGAAAGGCGGAGGAGGAAGCCCTGGTGATGGAGGACCCCAGTTTACGGGTGGAGGAGGAAGGTGATGGCGAGATGGATGACATCTTCACCGACTTCATGAAGGAGCAGGAGCTGGAGGTGGGTTTTCGTTTTCGTTCGCGTTGGAACAGCACCGAGGAACAGCGTTCCTCAGCCGTGAACTTGATAATTGCTCCGCCATCGTGTTGCCATTGAGTCGGACGAGCGTGTGTTTCACGAAACCGTTTACAAAACGTGGTAGTTCCAGATGTAAGGTGGTAGTTGTATTTTCGCACACGTTCACGATGCCGTAGTTCCAGATTCAAGACGGCAATTGCCGCACGCTAGTATGCTTCTTGGTCTCACGGTTTTTGTCGAGTCAGAGATGGCTGTGTTCATGCATGAGGGTGTAGTTGTAACCGAACCCCGAAACGCGAAACGCTGATGGCAACAACAGGGACGATGATCGGCATAAGTGTATGTACACCGAACGGGGGAAGAGGTCATACCGAAGTATAAGACCGTGCACCCTTCCTTGGAAGAAGCGAACACGTGCAATATGCGCAGTTTGCATCGTTTTCTTTTTCTTTCACTCCCTCTCGGGCTTAGTAGGTACCTCTTGGTTCGACTTCCGTTTATCGCACATATCCTGTGTATCGTGCAATGGGGTTCTCGCTTCTTGTGTCTAATACAGTTTGTTGCGTACGTGCAGACTGTGGATTCTTAAGGCCGGGATGAAGGTCAAGGTCAATAGTTTTCGTGCGCATCTCAGGTTATGGGGCACCTTTGTCCTGCGAAGCCACGCAGTGTTATCATACGATGTCACGTCAAGAAAATATTTTCCAGCTCCGTGCACACATCCTCTCTTTCTCTCCCCCCCTATATACATCTATTTATCTATCGCTATATATCCATCTCTTTATTTTTCTTGTCTCATTCTCTCGCTCTTGTTTCACTCCTTCCTCCCTCTCTCTATGCGAAGTCAATGGTCTAACGACTACGGCATGTACGACTATGAGTACCCCCCCCCCCCTCTCTCTCTGTCGGTGTTCTCCCATTCTGCGACAACCCCTCTGCGTGCTGCCCCACCAGATGTCGAACTTCGAGTTCACTGAGGAGGATTTCGCGGACGATGGCAACTACGACGATATCCGCGATGGGCCAGGCCCTGGCATGGAGGAAGTAGACCTTGGCTTCGAAGGCGGCCCCGGTGTCGTGGACTTCGGCCTCTAGAACAATAGAAACTCCTTGCCGTCTTGTCATGCTTGCTGGGACAATTTGGGAGCTGATGGATGGTTCGATCCGACGATAGAACGAAGGATCAGGGGAGATAGTAGGGTGGTTGAAAGAGGGCCTGTTTCTTACACGTGTACCTGGTATACTAGAATACTAGAATACTAGTTTTGCTTCTTCAATCTATTTTTCTTGTCTCGTGTAGTCTTGACTGACGGCCGTGTGGATCCCTAACTGAAATCTCGGGTGGGAGGTTTATCTCTCTCTTGTGTCCTGTTTCCATCAGACGGATAGAAATGTTGAGGCATTGGGCAGAGGTATGAGCAACGGACTAAGGCAATATCGCCGAAAACCTGTATGACTGGCAGATGGCACGTTTGTCGATTGCAGTCAAACCAAAGTATTGGGTGGGTAGGCTAACTATGTAGGACGCCTCACCAACATCTCGGTATGTATCCGAAATCTAAAGCCAGGGGATGGGGATGCTGTAGTTGTGTAGAAAGGCGAGAGGTTTGGGGGGATAATGTTGTCCTGCCTGTCTGTGTTGTCGTCCTGTCAGTGCCTCAGTCGGAGCGTATTGTTTCTGCCTGGTTTATGCAAGAGGTACAGCAGCGGTAGAAGGCTGGGAAGGATGTTGTCCATGACGCTCCAACCTGTCACCTGCGGCCATCGCCAGAAAACATATCTTCCAAGCTTTGCGGTAGGTGTCACGGGTTGCGCGAAACCAAGGTTTGTGCGTGGTTGTATGTGAATGTTCCAGACCCAACCCGCAGTGCTCGATTGTCCGGGCATTGCTGGATGCAAACCCAAGTTTCCAACCCTTGAGACTCTTGAAAAGGTCGAGAATTGTCAGAGCTTGGTTCGTGTCCACGAGCCGTACGGATGCATACTTATGGTTCGGCGACTCATGTAGGACCCATGTAAGGTTCCGCGAAACGTTCGTTGCCTTTGCGTGTGAATATGTTCAATAATGTTCGACCCTACGAGTACGTCTGCAGTATGCGAACGCCCGCGATGAACGGATGCGGTTCACCGCAGCCGCAACCCTTCGATCCAAGCCAATGGTTCCCAAATCAACTCTTCACCGCCCACCCCGTGGATTCGTAATGTACAATACAGCAGTAGTTTGCGATGCACTCACTAGTCGGTTGGTTCCAAGAATCCCAAGAGTTCCTAGAGAACATACAAGTACGTAGTGGAGCCCTCTGCATGTTGGTTGCACATCCGACGGATTGCCTGTCGAGCCATACAAAACAGCACAGCAGTACACACGTACGATGGACGTTTCTGTATTGGGCAGTAAGCACTTTGTGCTCGATACCTTCGTTGGTGGGATCCCGGCTTGAACAGCAAGATTTGACCTCTTTGAAGTTTGAAAGACTCGCGCTGGCTCTCACAGCCTTCACGAACAAATTGTTCTCATCTGTGAACCACGAATCGCACTGGCTCTCACCTGCCCTGACTGACCTGGCTCTACACACACACATGTCGCCGGCTCCACGGTGATTCACTTTCTCTGTTGCCACATCACCGTCGACATCAGCAGCAAGTCAGCCACCAAGTCAGCGACCTCAAAGTGAGTGAGCTGTATTGAATGGACTGAGTGACGTGACGAAGGTTGCGATTGGAGGACACTACAGTACACAGTGAGATGGGGCCGTGTGGTCTACAGAGGTGCCTCAGTCGGGTGTCGGAGCTTTGCGCTTGCTTGATGTGCGCGGAAAAACTCGTTGTACATCTACTTCAGACTTTCGCCTCTATCGCATTTTTTCGCATGAGCGGGCATGGCTATCAACAACACTGCTGCACACAAGAAGAGAACTTTGGTAGTCTGCTGTAAGCACGCTGACACACACACGAGAACGTCGAACGCCGTGGACACAACCCTTTGTGGAAACTGCATACACTTATGTATGTGTACAACATAAACACCTCAGCGTACTTGGTACACAGGAGGGGGTACCCACGCCGGTTTTTCTTCTTTTTCTCTTCTTTTGTCCCCACCTACCTCCTGCGGTGCCTGCCTGAGATATTATTGTCGCGAGAGGTCGACAATGAAGTCGATCAGTCTACTAACGACGAGTTTTGCAGCGCGTCACTTCCAACTTAGGGACTCGATATGGTGCCCCACGGGGAACCGGGGCGGAATGTTTATTACAAAGTCCTATTATTCTTTCACTCTTCAACCTGTTATGATTGATTCATGGTGCACCGACTGTCCGTGGGCTGTCCATGGGTCGCTCATGAGCCTCCCTATGGTACAGTAAAAATGAACCCCCAGTAGATTTCCTGGGGATTTTCACTACTTACCGTGGTCCACCGCGTTCCTCCAGGGGAAAAAAACAACAAAGAAAGGCCGAATCAGACCCTCCGGTGAGGGCAATCTCATCATGGTGCATTTGCAACCTCGGTTGTAGGTAATATTTTTACAGACAAGGCATGTTCGCGGACATTATATATCCACTCTACTGCAGATCAACGTTCGTATGTACTGTAGTTCACTCTTCTCCCGCGCCCACTCAACGCGCCTAAATGCAAACAGTACAACACAAAGAGGCCTACCAAAAAATGCGACTGCACGTGCTGCGACATCCGACGGTTTTCCTTTCAGCATGTTTTAGCGATTGGGCATGCTACATTGAGATCACAAATGTCTATCGAAAAATATAAGGGTTAAGAACCGGTTGGCCAGGATCCCTGAAAATATTCAAGAATCCGGTTCGCGGAGTAAATGAGCATGCAAGACGTCGTAACGGGTACATTAACGCAAATCCACACCAGGGGGTCACGCGGGTACTGACTCGGTGTCGCCGATGGTTCCTTGTTGTAGTAGCAAATCATACGAGGAGCGCTAAAACCATCGGCGGATCCTGAATTTCTCCCGAGCGCCCGTGTTGTGAATGTCAACGACTTCGTACGGGCACTCGTTTGGCGAGGTCCCCCTATCTATCCAATGGCAGACATTGGACGTCGTCAACGACACCATCCAACCTGACCAACACGTTCGAGACTACTGTGCATCATAAGATATAGTTGGTTGTTCGCTTTCTTTCAGGATTTCGTCCATGTGCGGTTCTCTCTCTCTATTCTCTCTCTCAGGTTTCCACGCTCTGTATTTTGCATTTCGTCATGGACGCGAGGTCAAAAGAAACTATCAAAAAGGCGCAGCACGCATCATAGAGCATGCTTTCCCTGGTCACATTCACTATCATCGCCCGTGGACCGCGGTGGACATGCTCGACTACCTCAAAAGGCTGATCTCTTTTCACTCCAGGCACAACATTCATACTGCTGAGCTCTTGGAATTATGTGAACTCGCATGTTCGAAGGACAAGACCACCCCACCATTCAGCATCCTACACCATGCGGTCCGGGGAGGAGACGCTGATTTCGTCGAAGTACTCCTGAATATCGGCAAGGGCTTCGTGGGCCTGCAGGACAACAAGGGAAAGACCGATCTTCACTACGCTGCGAAAACGGGCGACACGCGCCTTGTTCGCGCGTTGGTCGAGCGCGGCCAGTCCGACATTTTCGCACACAGTAAGCGCGGTGACTTGCCCATCTGCCTGGCGATCCGTGGTGGTCATCTACCCGTGGTCGAGTACATGCTTGACCATTCTCGCCGCACGAGGAAGTCTTACTTCGACAAGAAGCCCCGGTACTCGTTCATGACAGACGCTGTTGCCCACCCCGAGATATTGCGGGTTCTTGCTCAGCACTGCTGTGCCATCGAAGGGCATCCGGTGGCGACGAGCCAGCTAATATTCGATGTGGCCATGTCAGGGAAAGCTGGCGCCGTGGGGGTATTGATCGAAGCCGGGCTTGACATCGTGGACCTGCAGGACAACAAGGGAGAGACCGCTCTTCATTATGCTGCGAAAATGGGCGACACGCGCGTTGTTCGCCAATTGGTCGAGCGCGGGAAGTCTGACGTTATCACACACAGTAAGCGCGGTGACTTGCCTATCTGCCTGGCAATCCGTGGTGGTCATCTACCCGTGGTCGAGTACATGCTTGACCATTCTCGCCGCACGAAGAAGTCTTACTTCGACAAGAAGCCCCCGGCACTCTTTCATGACTGACGCTGTTGCCCACCCCGAGATATTGCGGGTCCTTGCTCAGCACTGCTGTGCCATCGAAGGGCATCCGGTGGCGACGAGCGAGCTTGAAAGGTAAACTACGCGGGGTGCAGCAAGCACGTTCTGGACGTTACTTGGGGCACTGGGTAGTCGGCCGTGTTAGGCCGAGAGAGAGAGATTGAGAGAGAGTTGGAGAGAGAGTGGGAGAAGGAAACTTGATTGGAGAGAGACGGTGGTGGTGGTGGAGAGAGAGAGGAAGAAGTGAGCGCAGCACGCACGCAAGCTTCATCGCACCAACCACGCCAAAAGGGTCCCCGTGACCGCACCGATGATACCCTGCAACACACGAAATTCCCAACACGTATCCCCCTGGGATCCTCACGACCAGATACTGCTGCGAGTATATCTAACATCCCCCCTGCTCGCAACAGTTACTCACTGAAAACTTCGCGAACACTCGATATCTCAACCAAAATACATCTCTACAATAATATATGCCATCAATACTCGACCAGAATAACATAAGAGGGAAAAACAACTCAAAGGAACATGAATACTGCATCGCGCGTAACAAATACTTGGCGCGAGAAATGAAAGAAAACGGGAAACAAAACGAGAAACAAAACAAAACCAAAACACAACCAATCAGAAAAACAATAAAATGTTCATGCCAAATTCATTGCAAAATCACGGTGAGACTCGAAAGCGTCCTTCGGCAAGCTCTTCGTGAGAAAATCTGCACGCTGGTACGGAGACGGCACGTGGATCACCGAAATTTCCTTCCTCTCTACCAGTTCCCTGAGAAAGTGGTGCCTTACATCTATGTGCTTCGAGTTCGAGTTTGAGATGGGGTTCTGCGCTAGTTGAATCGCCCCCTGGTTGTCCTCGAAGACGGGGATACACGGCATGCCGACCTGCGGCAACATGAAACGCCAAATCTGCCTCAAAAACAAAATCTCCTTCACTATGTCACCAAGCGCGACGTACTCTGCTTCTGTCGTCGAAAGCGTGACGCACTTTTGCGTTCTGGAAAACCAAGACACAGCGCCTCCTCCACACGTCACGATTCCCCCTGATACCGACCTACGGTCTGCTGCCTTGCTTGCAAAGTCCGCATCAGCGTACCCCTGCAAGCTGAATCCTTCTACTGTACCCCTCTGAAACGAAATACCAAAGTGACTCGTCCTCCTCGCATAGCCTAAAATATCCATCGCTGCATTCCAGTGTACCAGCTTCGGAGATGCGCAATACCTAGCTACTGCCCTTACAGCATTCGCAATGTCTGGCCTAGTTTGAGTCGCCAGCCACATCAACGATCCTACCAGCTCACGAAACGGAAAGTCTGTCGCCACCTCATCCGCATCAAAATCAGAAAGCTTCACCCCCGAAGACATCGGAACGCTCTTACCTCCCACTACTCCATATTCTGCTGCTAGCTCGTCCGTGAAAGTCTGCTGAGAAATCGTCAACCTTCCGGTCTCCTTGTTCCTCTCGTAAAAGCACCCAGAATACCATCTCAACTCTCCCAGGTTCTTCACTGGCACGGACTTGTTAAGGTCGGCGCCAAACTTGTCACATCTCTCCCTCTCTCCCACAGCAAAAATTTTATCTACATGTACTACCAAAATCAAAACAACACATCCATCCTCAATCAAACGAAACACACAAGCTTCGGCCATGCACTGCTCAAAACCTAACGCCACTAAACACCTCTTCAGCATTGCATGCCACTGCCTAGATGCCTGTCTCAAGCCATACAGACTCTTGCCTAGTTTTACAATCATTCCAGATAGAGCTCCACATCCCTGCGGCAAACGCATGTACACGTCTTCCTCCAACTCCGAGCGCACAAAAGCTTGCTCAATATCGAAATGACACAAGTCGAGATTCAACTCGCACGCCAACGCAGCCAACATCCTAACACACGAAACAGAAACGGTAGGCGCGTACAGCTCTCCAAAGTCAATGTACTCTCTCTGCATATCACCTCTCGCTACAAGTCTCGACTTCACCTTAGTGGGCCATCCAAATTCATCTGCCTTCCAATCGAATATCCACTTAGCGTTAATTGCGTTCTCCACTAGTTGCTACTTCGCCGGAGTAAAAGTCCCTGCTTCCAACAAGCCGTAAAACTCCCTTTGCATAGAGTCGCTCCAAAGGTGCCGGTGCTCCGACGCCATGGCCTCTTTGTAGCTCTTGGGGACACGAAGGTCGCTGGCCTGGCAGTGAGGAAGGTCAGGGCGTTGCTCCGGCGGGCGCTGGTCTCGCAGCGTGGCGTCGATGTCTTCCCGGTTGGCGAGGAGCGTGGCAAATGCGAGTGGAAAGCCCGCTCCTCCAGCCCCCGGGTCCACCGCTGCGAGTGCTCCCGCCTGTTCTCCGGCCCCCGCTCCCCCCGGCTCTCCGGCCTCCGCCCCCCCCAGCTCCCTGCGCTCCTCATCCACCGCGCTCCGAGCCTCCAGCATCGACACCAGAGTGTTCTTGTCTAGCATCGAGATGAGTCCTGTGCTGTGCCTCGTGCCCGATCTCGTTCGGCTTGGCAGCCGCGGGTCTATCATACCCTCGGCCTTTGTACCCGGGCGAAGCTGCCGCATGGCGTGAGCCGTAAGCGGGGGCATCGCGGGGTCCGGCGGCGGCGGCTGGTCTGGATCGAGGGTCGCCAACGGTGACGGCGAAGAGGCAGAAGACGGCTGGCCAGGGGCGGGGGTCGCCGACGGTGGCGGCGAAGTGGCAGAGGGCGGCTGTGAAGGCGTGGGAGCGGACGGCGGCGTGGTCGCTGGCGGCGGCGTTGCGGCAGGTGGCGTTGCGGCAGTCGAAGGCGTCGGTGCTGGGCCAAAGTTGATCGAGACGACCGGCGGCGTGAACGGGGGGGGTGTCGGTGCAGCGGTGACACCAGCGGAACCCCCCTCGCCGGCTGGCGCCGACGTCACCCACGACACGTTGTTGGTGTAGACGACGCGACCGGTGGACGCCTTGAGGACCTTGACGGTGCCGCTCGGGTGGTTGTCGCCGCCGTTCAGGTAGAAGCAGAGGGTGGCCTGGTCGTCGAGCTTGGTGCGGCGATCCTCGCGCATGAAGCCGGGCTGGAAGAACGGCAGCACGCGGAACGGCCCTTGCTCGCCGGTGAACATCTCGTGCGGCGAGCGCCGCCCGGGGTTGGCCTTGGTCGCCGACTGGTTAAGAGCGTCGGCGGCCCACTTCGCCGATTCCATCCAAAGACGGTCACCGCGCTCGTCGAGGCCGGGGATGGAGGCGAAGTCGACGTTGAACACACGGCCAGCGCTGCGGCGGGCGGCCATGCCGGCCTTCATAATCCGCCAGATGGCGCTCTCGACGACGCCGTTGTACTTCGGAGTGCCAGGCGGGGTGAACTCGACGCCGATGCCGTTGTCGTCGCAGAATTGCCGGAAGTCGCCACGGGTCCACTCGGTGCCGTTGTCGACGCGGAAACACTCGATGCGCCCGAGGTCGTACCGCCCCACGTCCGCCAGCAGCCTTTTCGTTGCCGCCAGCGCGTCGGACTTCCGCCGGAGACCGTAGACCTTGTTCCACCGCGAGGCGCTGTCGACGGCGACGAACAGGTAGAGGTTGCCGCCCAGGGAAGGCACCAGCGGTCCACACAAGTCCAGGTGAACACGCCCGAGTGGCTTGGACGCCCGCGCTCCCGGCCCCCGCGGCACCGACCCTCGCCTGCCCTTCGCCTTCATGCAGTCCGTGCACGGTTCCAGCTTGCCGGTGAGCACGATGCCTCTCTGCTGGGCGGTTTCTCTCAAAAGGGGCTCGCAAGCGTGGGCAAGGGAGCGGTGGAAGCGGTTGATGTCAACGGACTTTTCAGTCGAACCAAGAGCAAACGGGGACGCACCAGGGCCAAGCGCGGCCGCACCCAAGTCAAAATCAGCACCCCCATCAATGCTATCCAAAACAGCAGCTACATTCGCAGCATCAGTCTCAGGGATAAACGCGGGGAAAAACTCTTGATACGGGGTGTCATCATAGCCATCCATGAGCTGCTCGTCGGTGAGCACACTCGTGTCTCCAAGATCCATACTCGGAAAAGTACCCACACAAACAAACTCGGACGCCGAAGAAGGTACTACGCCGGCAGAGCCGGCGGGCGGGACGCTCTCACTCGCAGGTACTACGCTGGTGGGACCAGTGGGCGTGACGCTATCAGTCGAAGGTACTACGCTGGTGGGACCAGCGGGCGTGACGCTCTCACTCGAAGGTACTACGCTAGCAGAGCCAGCGGGAGGGAAACGCAACACGGACACCAATGATTCCGCGGAGCCCCCTTTTTGGGAAGGGGAACGCGTGGAGCCAACGGCGGGGGCGGAATCGGGGGCAGTCACGAATGCAGGCAAAGCAGAAGAGTCTACTATAGTTGCAGATGGGTCGTATGGTAAGCGCATGGCATATGCTGCAGACGCTTTTTCCTCCCTAGCAAATAGCAGTCCATTTTGGAGGGTTGCACCACGCTCGTCGTGCAGGATTTGTTGCTTTCGAGAAACTGCATGCGTTGAAAACAAATTGAAGCTCAGGTTCTCTACTACAGACACGTCAGTCAGCTTAACACACATCGTCGTTTTTTCACCGTTCTCATCCTCCTGAAAGAAACTAAGGTTGATGCTACCGATAGCTTGCACTTCTAGCAGTCGACCATCACCTACGACGACATACTTTCTATTTGCGGGGATCTCCTGCAGATCGTACATGTGTAGGCTACTGTTGGTAAAACTGTTGCTTGCACCTGAATCAGCTACCCATCTCTCGCTACCAGGCGGCCCCTCACTAGATTCCACACTCAGCAAAGACGAAGCAGACGCAGCAGACTCAACTCCAATCGTCACTCCTATCCTACCAAAAATATCTTCGGGGTGAGACTTGCCTAGGGGCACCGATTGTGCCGTGCAGAGATGGAGGTAGCCCGAAGATGGAGGCGCGCCAGGAGCAGGGGCAGAGGACGAGGAGGAAGCGGTGCTGCTGCTGCCCGCGGGGGGGGGCTGACGTGGCTGCTCGGATGATGAATCTTGACCGGCGGGAGGGTAGTAGACGTAGTGGATCCCGCCGTCAGATGAACGGCTGTCTTCGTACCCGGAGGAGTAGCTGTAGCTGTCCCCGCCGCCGGCGTAGTGGGCGTACCCGGCGTCGTGGTAGCCGTCGTCGTAGGAGTAGCCTTCGTCGTAGTCGCCGTAATCTTCGTAGTAGCCACCATCATCGTGGGCGTAGTACACAACGTACGCCTGCTCTCTTCCGTGGCCAGAACGCGCGTGCCCCGGGCCTCTCCCTGCCCGATCTCTCTCGGCACGCCCGTCGCTGCTGTGGCGTCCCGCGGGCCCACGACCCCCCGGGTGACGCCCCAGACGACCACCAGGCCCACGTCCACGAAGAGGTCGCGGGGGGGGTGAGGCTTGGCTCCAGCCACCGCCACCATGACCGGTGTGGTGCTGCTGCTCTATCCTCACCCATCGCCCGCCACCGCGGCCGGGTCCCGGCGGCGGTCTACCCCCTCGCTGGCTACCGCCGCCACCGCGGCTGCCGCCGCCCGAGCGACGTTCCTCGGCGCCCTCTCTCGAACGCGCACGCCGCAGTTGCTGCTGGAGACGACACTGCTCGTTGGTGTGAAGCTCGGACTGGTGGTAGCGGCAAAATCCGCCGGGGTCGTCGTTGAACACGTCACTATTTTCCTTCTCTCCGTCACGATTTTGGCCGCCAGCTGCTGCCTGACCGCCGTCTTGACCCCAGGATGCCCCCCCACTGCCCCCGCCGCGCCGGCCCATGCCGGATGCGGCGAGAGCGAGCTCCACCTCGCGCCTCTCCCCCTTGCTCCTCTCGCGCTCCATCTCCACGTGGGCGTCCCTCACCACAGTCTCAAGGGTACGCAACGTCAGGACATCATGGGCAAGCACTATTCCTTTTTGCACGGCATACAACGAAGAGGGAAGGCCACGAGCAATGTCTTTGTTGGCATCTGTTTCATCCTTAATCGTGCCTACAGATGCGAGACGCAGGCGAAGGGCCTCTGAGCGGGCAATGTAATCCTGTGGACTCTCGGACTCTTTCATCTCCAACTCCTTCCAGTCCTGCTCCAACCTCGACTTTTCTGACTGCTTTTTCTCCTGATAGAACTCGGTCACTATTTTCCAGCCCTTTTGGGGACTCTCACACGCCAGAATCAAGCTCTGAATCGGGGGATACATAACCTTGCTTATGAGGATATTCCACAGTTTGAAAGACTTGTCTACCACTTCATTTCCAAAAAGTCTCCGAAGGTCTCCTACATTCACACCCCTCTTCCCGACCTTGACCTCGACCTCCAGTTCCAACGCATCATGCACACCCTCCTCCTGAAAATATGAAATCATCTTACCACGAAAAATATCAAACATAATGTACAAGTCCTGCTCCTTCTTTACACTACCAAGCCAAGGTTCGATTTCTGAGCCTGGATTGACACGTAACGTGCCTGAGCGGGCAAAGCCCTGTTGTTGAGCGATGGCCTCAGCTGTCGCCTTGGCCGCTTGCGCCACGATGTGTGCGACGCTGCTGGGGTCGTTGAATGTGGCTGGTGTACCCTGGCTGGAGGGTGATGGTTGGTTGCCAGTAGGTGGGACTGGGTTGCCGGTTGGAGTGGCTGGGTTGCCGGCTGGTGGTTGGGCAATGGTGACTTCACCCTCGTTGATCCTGTTGGCTTCGAGTTCGGCTTGCACTCGTTGCTGGACGATCTCCTCCACTTTTTGTTGTAGCTCTTCCCCGCTGAGGGGGGAGAGGTCGATGTCCTCCATGATGTTTGGTGTTGTGGGAGTCTACCGATTGCGCGTGACTGCACAACCCCCGGATGGCTACGCCCGCGCGCAGATACCGTGATATCGTACTAGTGTGAAAGGTAAACTACGCGGGGTGCAGCAAGCACGTTCTGGACGTTACTTGGGGCACTGGGTAGTCGGCCGTGTTAGGCCGAGAGAGAGAGATTGAGAGAGAGTTGGAGAGAGAGTGGGAGAAGGAAACTTGATTGGAGAGAGACGGTGGTGGTGGTGGAGAGAGAGAGGAAGAAGTGAGCGCAGCACGCACGCAAGCTTCATCGCACCAACCACGCCAAAAGGGTCCCCGTGACCGCACCGATGGTACCCTGCAACACACGAAATTCCCAACACGTATCCCCCTGGGATCCTCACGACCAGATACTGCTGCGAGTATATCTAACAGAGCTGATATTCGATGTGGCCATGTCAGGGAAAGCTGGTGCCGTGGGGGTATTGATCGAAGCCGGGCTTGACATCGAAACGAAAAGATCTGAAGACGGATCTGGACCTCTTCATCACGCCACGAAAGCGGGAAACGATGAGGTGGTGCACGCTTTGCTCCATCACGGGGCGTCCGTGGATGCCAACAACAACGCGGGCCAGACCCCCCTGCACTGGGCAATGAAATCGGCTACGACCTTGGACAAAGTAGCCCAGACAGCCAAGCTTCTCACGGAATGGGGAGCTAACGTGGAGGCTGCCGACGATAACGGAAACACTCCCATAAGCCTCGCTCGCAAGGGACGTCCTCAGTTGCTGGGAGCCTTTCAGGAATCACGGAAGCATCAGTCGTGGTGTCATCGGCGGCAGGTTATTCTGTTCAAGAGGCAGGTCGAGCGGGAGCAGCCGGAACCGGACCTGGGCCCTTTGCTATTGAACCTGGCGAACACGAAAGAGGAACTCTTCGAAATGGTGCTGGGGTATCTATAGCGGGTGAGTGCCAAAGATGGTACGCGCGAGTGCGATCCGCCGCGATCTCTTTCCTCACCGAGTTAGTTGTGAATGTTCTCAAGGTATTGGAAATCTTATCCCTGACCAGAAACAAGTGAAATATCATTCAACCACGTCTGGGAAATGTAAAGACAACAGCAACTGTAGATTGCGAAGAATGAAACGGTCGTCTCCTTGCGGAAAGAGATGTTTCCAAACCGACGTGAAAACTCTAATGTATTCGCCTTTGAACGTCGGTTGCTCTAACCGTTTGGTCGCGGTCGGGTGCTGCATAAGAGACAACGTTGATCTGTTAGCATAGAAGATACAGAAAGCATAGACTACTGTACCTCTTTACCGCTGCTGTCTCGCGCGTTCTCCAGATGCGACCAGACCAACTTCCCGAGCTGCGATGGAACACGGAGCCCCCAGGCGTTTCCAACTGCTTTGTATCAGGGAGGAAGAGAGCAGAGATCCGACAGTCTCCCTCGAAGTAGAGGCGTCCTGCACGCGCCGCGTGGGGGGTAGCCTACGCAGTGCAGACTACTGTACAAACAGAAAGCCAAACCTAGAGTGCCAAGTGTAATGCTTTTCGGTGTTGCCTCGGGGTACGATAGAACAAATTCAGCTTTCGCAGGAGAGGAAGAGTGTGTTACTGCCCGAGGGGAGACGGCGGACATTACAGTCGCATTTATTTGCAGGACGTTGCTGCTGCCCAGGTCATGCACGGACTGTCTGAAAGACGAGTGAACGGGGATCGCATGGGGGCAAGGGGGGTTAACAACGGGGTGGGGGGTCACTTTGTAAGCCCTTACGGTAGGTCGTGCACATCACTACTGCTGTAGGACCTGTTTTCAGTAGTGATTCACCGTAGGTTGCGCAGGATATGGTGTCGGGATCATCACGAAAATCAGATGTTGTGGATTGCAAATACTCCAACAGTTGTTGTCACTATTGTTGACCCTCGACCCATGTCGATACGGCGTGTCATCATGTGCAACGAGTGCATGTTTGGGGCACGACAAGCTTCAGATATAGCAGTGTAGAATACTACTTACAGTAGTGGTTATCTGGGACCCATCACCTGGTTGTCCTGTTTGACGTTTATTAGTGAGTAAACGGCATCATCGCCGTTGCCGAGGTAAAATCGTCCTTGAATGTTGGTCTATCGGTCGTTCATGAAGCGTATGGAACAACCCGGACTACTACCTTCTTTTTGTTTGAAGACGTCAGGCAGATACTAAATGATGAAATTCATGCCGACCACAAGTAGGCGTCACTACCGGGAAGGCGCGGCCCCAGTAAAACCATCAATCGTGACCTCTGGACGGGCATATTGCCGACTTTCTGCCGGTGTTATTTGCATTATTGAGTTGCCGGTGACATGAGTTCCCCACAAGAACTGTCAAGAATCATGAACAAGGAAGGAAGCCGTTGAACAGGCACGCGTCAGAAACGCAACATCGTTGCCCTCAACATCGCCTTCTCCCGGAATATTTCCGAAACCATCTGTTGCGCAGACAAGATGTCCTCTACCGGACCATTCTTCTTATGTATGTCCGTCGGTTGAGCTGGAACTACTTTCGACGAGAGGAACAGCTCACGACTCTTTGCAGCCTTACCGCGTATTTATCGAAGCACCTATGAATCGCCAACGGCAGAGGCCCAAAAAAAACGCAGAGATTTTCGTAGAGTTTGATGGGATGAACATATCTGCTGTGAGTGGGATGAAAAAATGTGGGTAATTTTCTGATTTTAGGCCCATCCCATCACCTTCCCCTCTGATCATCGTACCTTCCATTCCCAGCGACAGTAGATTTTTCCACATCGCTCCTATCCCATCCCATACTCACTCGCCTCAGAAGCGGACCCCATCCCAGTCACTCCCATGAGTTTTCCCGGCACCACATAAATGCATGGTGGTTGAATTACCCCTCTTCTTCTCACTTCTGAAATGTGGTCGAGGTCCCGAAATGTCTCAAGGGGTCAAGCCATGGTTCCCCTGCAGCATGCACACGCGTAGTAAGTCGTGCACAAGCAGGGACCTACCGGATTAGGCGCCATGGTTACGAGTTTGGAGCCTCGAACAAAAACAAATCTCCCCCAAACGCGGCGGCTGCAAGACAAGGACGCACGAAGACAGCGGTGCCAACATCAGTTATGGCGTCAGATGCGGGGCGGGGAACTACTGCCGTATCTGGGCTTTCAGTGGTTGGATCATCCTCCAGCTGATGATTTCCTCATTGGGCGGGTACTTTAGGCATACGGTGGCCGTCATCTCCACTCTCCGCTCTCCACGGTTTTCATGTGATAAGTATCTCATCATGCGAATAGACAAGGTCCAAGGGTGGAGCGTAGTTGCTGGGAGCATGTTTGTTTCTTCTGTAGATGAACACGCAAAATTGTGGTCATGTAACCCGTCTGCCTGCTGCCATTCCCACCACCGAGCATTTCACTGGTCATCCTTTCACGGTTCTCGCACGAAACCAAGTTGGTCAAGTCGGTTTCCAGACCCGGGAACCTCCGAGGCGGTGCCATTACTCTTCCAAACAATACACTACGCCCCCCGCCAGTAACTAAGTAATCTGCCTGGCAAGCTGTTCGGTGCAACGGTGCAACAGATCTGCCACATGATGCTGTTCTTCGCAGAAAAAAATGTTCGCCTGTAGGAACAATTACTACTCGCACTGGCTCTTGCTGGCTCTCTGCCGTGGCTCTCACTCTGTCCTGGTGCTACACCTGACTTCGGCTCGCCAGCTCCACTATTGATTTGCTCTGTTTCCGTGTGGTCATTCTTCCCGAGAGATATACCACCAAGGTCAGCGAAAGTCAACAGCAAAGAGTGAGTGCGTGAGTGAGCGAGTGAAGGGTGGGTGGGTGTAGGAAGTTACCGGCCAAGACAATGAGCTGTGCTTGACACCTGTAAGCTGCACGATCTACATGCTGTAAGATGCTCTCGCCGTGGGTAAACCCTTTTGCACGGCCTCGGGCGTCTGCTCTCACCAGGACGGCTCATGAAGGACAACACAATAATGTACACATCGACTCACGGCGGTAGACTGTGTGGTCTGACCTCACGCCCAACATAGACTACGCCTATTGCACACAGAGCCTACACGACAATAATCTGGCAAGTCAAAACTTACTTACTTGTGGGGCTTGCAGAGGCAAAAACAATCCGACCTCCTAAAATTGTGCGGGACATCCGTAGTTCCAGCCGTCAGTCCTCAAGCCATAACTTTGTTTTGTTTGCTCCTTGAGCTGCAATAAACTAGAATGCGTTCTCGTGGCTTTTCTGGCCTCTCAGCCGCACTCTCAGCCCCTCCCTCGAGCCCTCGAGCCCTACATGTAACAGCCTGGTAGCCCTGTTTATTCATTCTGGTATTTCTTTGCGGTAATAAATATATATGCTGAGCTCTCCGATCAAGCATGAACTCTGTTGAGCTCTTGGATCCACTCGATGACCTGTTGGGCACTCACTCTCTCTCAACATCAAGCCTCCAAAAGTTATTCCGCCGTTCTTTTTTTCGGACTCTCTCACCATTCTATCGATCGACATGGATGGGCCGGCCCTCCTTTCCCACCACTCAGCCACCACGTCCTCTAGTCCATCCACAACAACAAGTCCATTCGCGTTTTGTGCGATAGTCTTTGAAAGAAACAGAATGAACGGAAGTAAGTGTGGAACAATGATCGCATTATTTGTGATCGCCGCGTCGAGCTACGGCGTCGATAGCTTCCAACGGCGTTTTATATTTTTGAGGAATTTGACGCAAGCAAGCCCATTCGCTCTTTTTTCCTTTTTCTGAAGGGGTGAACAACAAAAATATTTCCCGACTCGTAACCCTCCTCCAGAGACGCTCAGGGGGGCGGGGGGTATACTAAAAATGAAGTTTGCTCGCAATTGCGACACCGCTGATTTTTGGTATATTTCGACCTCTGTATGGGTTAGGTGTCGTTTCCACTTTTTTTCTGTGTTCGCCCTGTTTTTTTCTGCTCCTTTTTTCGGCAAGTATCTGCTTCAAGAGTCCAATCTGCTCGTTGGTTCTGCTCCTTTTCGGCCGTCATGCCTTCAATTATGCTCGTTATTTTTGGCCAATTTCGCTATTTCTGCTAGTTTTCGGTGGATATGCCCTCACCTGATGTTTGTTGTTCCGTCAACGGCCAGTTGTTGTGCATTTTTCCCGTGGTTATGCTCTCACTTGTGCCTGTTTGGGCCAGATATTTAAGTACACATTTTCCTCCTTTGCTTCCTCGATATCTGCTCTTTGCCTTGTCGACACCCTCGCTTGCTCGCGTACCACCGAGTGCTTTAAGTGACTCAAGGCCCCATTTTGCCCAATTATTCCCCATTTGGCCATCTCCGGCACATATAGGCGCCAAACTAAATGGTAGTGATACAGTAGTGATACAGTAGGATATAGGCTATCTGCTCATTCATTTGCTCCAGGAACAGGTTGATTTGCTCGAACATTGCTTGTTCTGCTCGAGCAAATGCTGAAATTGGATCTGCTTATTGTGCCTATCTATGCTACTTATGGCTAAATCTGCTCTTTTTTCTGCAAGCAGCATGGGCCTGGGCCTAGAGAAAATTCATCACTTTTGGCCAAAAAATGATGTGGGACCTCCTTTCTTTGTCGCCACGGACCCCCCCTGTGTAACCGCGGTGCCCCCGATTTATCATCACGGAGCCCCCTCTGAAATTCCCTCCGGATCGATCAGTACATTTCATTTGTACATTTTGATTTGGATATCACTCGTGATCTTCATTCTTTCATCTGCTGACAACCCTTGCGTTGTCAACCACGACAAAACTCCCTTGCCTTTCGCTTCCTCCAAGCGGATCAATGCTCTGTTCTTTGACGTTTCCTCGCCTGCTACCTTCTGCAAGTCTGTCTCCACCATATGATGCACTGCTGCATGAAAAGGTTTCGAAAGGAGAGCTTGGGCTCCAAAGACTTGGTCGTGTTGACCAAATTCATTTCGGCTGCAGGTAGACG